AATTAAGGCTACAAAGTGTAAAGAAAAAGAACTCGTTCTACAAAAAATAAAATTGCATCAACATCAATGTTGTTGACAATCGTTGATCTAGTCAAAGTTGCTATAACCTCTTTAAAGATATTCCAAAAGCATTAAAAAAAAAAACAATTGTTAGGTTACAAGTAACTGAAAATATTTGAGGTGGTAAAAGTGTACCGGTATATATTACAGTTTTGGGACCTCGGGGTAAAAAGTAGTGATTTTAAATTTGTGTCATATTTAACCATAAATTAGGTTGTGTTGTGTTGTTGCACCAGCAGATGTATATTTAGTAAAACACAATGAAAATAATTTGTGTGTACTGATAACACATTAGGTTCTGCTGATCCATTTGGACATATGGTTGATAATAGCCCAAACTGGTCCTTGTGGAGTCAAGTTACTGACTTTGAGTCACAGACATCGAACATCTGGCTAAGCAGATGGATGAAATGATGGAGGACAAAGTAACAATCCATTCATATTGTTTTCTGCTCACCCATATGCTTTCCCAAAAAACAGTCATAAACTGTGACTTTAATGGAGTTCCAGGTCAGATCTGCCCAGCTGCTCTGAGCTGTGCTCGTGTCCGATATTCCATCCTGCTCAGATGATTTAAGATCAGGGGATGCAGTTTAGAACGGAAAATTTAGACATTTTCACTAAATAATAGAATTTAAATTTGCAGGTGCATAAACATTAATAAGTTAAATTTTTGGTCATAACTTGACATTAGCTGTGGTGGAAGAAAAGCTCTAAGTGGGATTTTAATTCCCTGGCAGAAGGTTGAACACTCAAAAATGTACAAAGATCAGTACAACTAAAACTAAAATTAACATTTTTCTTTTATTTTGAAAGTATTTAATGCTGCATGGAGTCCCACCAAATAGCATTAGTTCTTCTATTCTCAGTATTTGTGCTCAAAATCTTGCAGGTTAACCAGATGGTTGCTTCATCAGTAGTCCTTGTTGTGAAGTCAACTTTGACTCGTGAAGGCTCTGAAGGTCACGTGGACCTCAGCAGGCATGATTTAGCTCCAAATCCCTGAATCTGAAAGCAGCGTTTATGTTTCATCATGCACTCGATCTTCAGTGTCAGTCAGTGCTGAAGTTCTGATAAAATAGAGTCGCAAAGGCCGGGTACGTCCAGGAACACTGAAAGTTTCAGTTACATAATCAACCAAAGCATGAGTTTGCACTCGCACGTTTCCATTAAAGTGAATAATTTTAGTTGTTTTTGTGCAATGGTGATACTGGTTCAGCATGCTGGAACGCATTTATGGTGCTAAAAAGGTTTTAAATAAAGAGGAATTGATCATTTGATTAGTGTTCATCTCCGTTAAACTTCCCATTCAAAGCTGCAGTTTCCTGCGAGTCGAGCAACTGCTGTATTATAAAAACATTTTTAGTTTATAAGTTCTGCACCAGGATAACAGATGAAAACATTTTAACTACTTCTAGGCAAAAATAAACCAGCTATGAGTCAAAAAAGTTCAACTTTTATGAAATGTATTTTTTCCCCACAAAAGTATGTTTCATTTTAGCGCCACTTTTTAAAAACTTGTTTAAGCTTGTGAGAGGGAACGAAGTGCCTGTGGCTCAGCGCGACTCGAGCAGGAGGGACTTCTGCGGTCATTTGAGATGTCTCCGTGTCTGTCTCTCAAATGAACCTGGACATGTTGTTTCCCCTCTCCAGGCCGCCTGGTTTTATCAATAAACCCACAAGTAAACATAGAGGTCGCCCCGACTTCTGGCTTTCCAAGAAAATATAAAAAATCTAATTTGTCTTTTTTTTCTTTTTTGGGCCGGTGGAGGAAACTGTTGGTTAAGCAGGTTGTCAGCATCTGTTGTGAGTCACCTTCATTAGTTTTCTTATCGACTACCGGCACCCACAGCAAATCCCACCCTATCTCCACCTCGCCCTTCTGTAATCTTCAATTCATCACTGGAAATCACGGCCCAGGTGGCCGTGCCCGTGGGCCGGTGGCGTCACTCGTTACATCATTACAGCGTGAAGTCTCAATTGCTGCCTGACCTCTTCCATCCAATTTCTCGGCTCCTCGTGGCGGCCGGTGCCCCCGCTGTTCCACTCGAAAACCCTTTAAATGAAGCAACCTTTGGCTCCGGGCCGCCACTCATCTCTGCGAGGCGAGAGGGAGACGAATGCAGTTCAAATGAATGTCGAGCCTCGTTATTGTACCTGTGGGTTAATATAGTTGAGGTCCTCGAGCCTCGTCTGTCTGTCTTTGTACGTCAGCAACACTCCAGCACAGATGTTGGGAGAGAAATGACTCAGAGCTTCGCTAATAAAGAAACTAAACCACCTCGGGTTTTGGAAATAATAATAATAACCATGATTTAATTAGACTAGGTCTGGTTTCTGCTCACACTTTGTTTCGAACACTCATTTTAGATAAATGGTTCCTTTTGCTCAATATGGCTAGTCTGAGTGAGACCAAGAACAAAGTAGATTTTTTGACACTTATCTTATCACTTGATCTTTATAGTCTGTTTGACGATTAGTTTTTTTTTTTTTTTTTTTTTTACCTAAGCTTGTGTTAATGCTGTCTAATGGTGTAAGAACATCAGTACTGGTATTTTGATGACTAACATTTTTTTTTTTTTTGTTTTGTGAGGACACTTCTGCCTTACTGAATGTGATAATCAGCCATTCTAGGCCACGTTTGTATTTATTCAAGGTTCAAGGTGACTTTATTGTTATTCACATCACACACAGTACATGAGGTGGAACAAAATCGTGTACTGTATTTTTCAGACTATAAGGCGCACCAGATTATAAGATGCATTAAGCGAAACAAAACAGTCAGTTCAGTCAAACTTAATTCAACTCATTCACAATCGCTACATAAAATCATTTCGAGCTTATTAATAACGAGCAGAATTAATACATATGGTGCAATGGATTATAAGGCTCGCTGTCGAGTTTTGAGAAAATTAAAGGATTTTATGTGTACCTTATGGTCCGAAAAATATGGTACTCAAGGTCCCAGTTACACCATTTGTACCACTGAAATGCTCTTTTAGTGTTAGAGGAAGGACTTTTCTTTATCTGAGCATGAATTAAATTGGGGCCAAGTTGTTGGAGTAGATTTATTAAGCTTTAATAAAGAGCCGCCTTGGTGTTTGTAAAGAAAATCCTAAACTTATGACTAATAATGTGAGATTAGTTGGCACATTTTTCAAACGTGAACATATATTTTCACCCTTCTGAAAGAGGGAGTCTACAACGTTTGTGCTCGGTTATTTTCAGTCTTTATTTAAGCTACAAATTGAAATGCAACTTTTATCTTGTTGCGCCACATTTCGTCCCGTCCCGAGTTTGCTGTAACTCACTAAGTGGCTCGTTTCATTAACGGCAGACGGTTTGTATCTGTTTTGTCCACAGCCAGCGAAAACTGCCACGACTTTCATCCCATGTTCTTCACTCACGATCGCTCCTTCAAGGAGTTTTTCTGCATCTGCATCCAGCTGCTCAACAAGACCTGGAAGGAGATGAGGGCCACGAGTGAAGACTTTAACAAGGTTTGATGGGCGGTGGATAAAGAAAACTGATGTTTTATTTCTATGCTGAGTCCAAATCAGCTGTAAGAATCTGAATAAATTAGATTTTTCTTTTCTTTTTTTTATAATAGAAAGCCTAATAAGTGTAATGAGGAAAATAATAGAAGAATAAAGAATAGTAAGTAAAATAAACTTTTATTAAAAATATATATATAGAGAGAGAAAAGTTGCAAAATAAATGTTTAAACACTTCAGTTTAAAATGTTTCATCTGCATTTTCTAAGCAATCATCCTGTTTAGCTTAGAGTAAAAGTGAGGTAAGTTCATTCTGAATATCATTTTTGTTTATTTTTATGATTCAGATATGAACATAAAAGCATATTTGACAAATCCAACACCTCCTCAGGTTACGGTCTATTGAGGACGTCTTTTCTTGACTGTTTCAAATGGAAGTAAATATGTGTCACTAGGATTTTAATTTAAAATGCCACTGAAATTTTAATGTTGTACGTTTGCATTTAATTTTTCAGTGTTAAAATATATTCAGAATACATTTTAACCTAAAAAAATAATAATAATTGTCATTTCTATATGTTTGAAATTTCATTTATTTTCACTTCAAGCTAAGAATTCACATTATTATTTCAAAGTGATGACATTTTCAATAGCTGTGTTTTAGTTGAACTGTTCAGTGTTAAAAAATACGGCATATACAAAAAATTCAACCTTTCAAAATTCAAAGTCAACATTTTCATTCCCATGAGATTCAAATGGCTCAATTTTACTGTCTGAAATTCAGTGTCTAAAATTTCATTGTAAAAAGGCAGGGTTACTTGAGGTCACAGACATTAGCAAAGGATGTCAGAATCCAACATCCACATCCGCTTTCTTAGTCACGTGACGTTACACTTGTTGCACTCATTTTGAAGGAAAACATCATGTCTGAGGCGGTCATGGAAGCTAACGCTAACTCAATGATGAGTTTAATGCTTTCATCTTTCTGTAGTATTTTAATTTTTAATTATTATTTTTTTGCACATGAAGTTTGATAGTACGACAGCCCTAATGCCTCGTTGTAGTATTGAACTTCATGCGCAAAAAAAAAAAAAAAATACTACAGACACTTTTAGACGCTGAATTTCAGACGGCAAAATTGAGCCAGTTGAATCTCAGGAGACTGAAAATGTTGACTTTGAATTGTGAAAGATTGGATTTTTTTTTTTTTAATGTGCCAAATTTTTTAACACTGAACAGTTCAACTGAAAACAGCTATTTAAAATGTCATCACTTCGAAATAATAATGTGAATTTTTAGTTTGAAGTGAAAATAACAAATTCCAATCATATAGAAATGATGACAATGGGTATTTTTTAGGTTAAAAATATATTCTGAATATGTTTTACCACTGAAAAATGAAATGCAATCATACAACATTAAAAAATCAGTGACATTTTTAATTCAAATCCTAGCGACACATATTTACTTCCATAGTTTCATTATTCGGTTGCGGAGTGTTTTTATCATTTGCTGGTTTGTTTTGCCCTCTTTTTAAAAATTGTGCATTAAGTTCAATTTCATGCTGAAAATTGCCACATTGGGCTCTCTGACTTAATGTCACACACACACACAATCTTTCACACCAAACTGCAGCTGTAAGAATCTCATAAAAAACTTTTAGTATAAAATGCAGTCAGTACGTGCACAGAGATGTTCCACATTAGCGTTTTGTTTATTTATATTTATTTAACCTTTATTTATACAGGTAGTCTGGAGTCACGAGGACTCATTTTCAAGAGAGACCTGTTTGGGAGCAGATGGTGGGGTAAATGAGGGTGGAGACAGGTGTGGGTGCTTCACCTTTTCTATACACATTTTGATGTTTTCAGTCCGAGGAGTCGAACTGGCGACCTTCCGATCACAGGCCCACCTTCTCCAACCTCTGCGCCACCACTCTCCCTATATTTACTGCTTTTATTTTTTAAAAGAAATGCACCTGTACGTCTAGCTTTTTATTTCAAAATGCTTCTTTTTCGTTTCTTTTATATTCATTAGTTGTCTTCTTCTGTAAGACCACGGATTAAACCTCCAGTCTTCCGCTCAGAGGTCGGTGGAGTTCGGATGAAGATGACAAACTTCCTTTTGTGCCGTCTAATGTTGAGTTTGCTCACACAGGAAGTGTGTCTTTGTGCGCAGCCAGATGGTGATGGCGATGAGGTGTTTAGGACTAATTTTGCACTTTGTGTAGTCAATCGGGTGTCGGTTGTAAGCGGCAGCAGATGCTCCGCTCCTTTTCCCTGATTTGTCAAACAAATTATGGACGTCTTGTAGAGTCAAACACCAAACAGAGGAGCCACTCTGTTCCCGTTGTGTTTCATTTACATGTTGTTTATACTGTGCCATTTACATCAGAACTCCTTTGGGGTTTTTTTTCTATAAAGCAAACTAATTTAATTTAGCTTTACTGCCCAGTTTGGTCCAATTTAAACACAATCAACACACGATAGTTTTATTTTTATTTTTTATAATGTATTTATTTAGACGAGATCAGTTTGTAAGGTTCTCTTCTGGAGTGATAAGGATGGATAAGATTAGGAATGAGATCATCAGCGGTACAGCACAGGTTGAACAACTGGGAGATGAAGTTAGAGAGACCAGACTGAGATGGTTTAGAGGAGGGACAGTGGGTATACTGGTGGAAGGATGTTAGAAATGCAGCTGCCAGGAAAAAGACAAAGAGGAGATCTATGGATGCAGTTGGAGAGGACGTGGAGGTAGTTGGAGTGAGGACAGAGTGAGATGGAAGAGGATGACTCGCTGTGGCGACCCCAGAAGAAGGAAGAGCAGAAAGAAGGAAGAAAGATTGTAAAGCGTAAACAGAAATATATACTAAATAAACCTTCAGTTAACAAAAGACATGGTGGTGCAGAGAAATAAGACAGAAATTAAAATTCTATCATTTCTTTTGACAAAATTGTCTGGAAATATAAAAAAGATGCAAGAACCCACCAGCTGGACACTATTAAACACTATCAGTAAACGAGTAAAGTAAAACACCTCAGCTGCACATTTGCATTGCTGGATCTGTAAAGTTGGGAAAAAAAATAAAAAACTTGAAAGAGCGAGTCTGCGAAAGTCGAACCACAAAGTAGCGAGAGACTACTATATATACTATATACTATATATACTACTATATATAGTTTCTCTCTGAACATCTGGACATTTGTCTTTTCAGGCTGCATTATATTTTTATCGTTGCCTCAATGAACAACTTTCAGTTCATTTAACAATAAAACAGTGCCGCCAGCTTTGATAAGATCTGATTAGTTACAGCTTCCTCTGTTCACATCTGCATCATTCAAACGGGCAACAACATGCAGGCCTTCAGCAGCAAATCTTTATGAATCTGTTTACTAACACCTGAGCTGGGGGTGTTTTTCATTACAGGTGGGATAGATGATGCTTATTTTCTTCAATGCACCCATGAGAAATAAAAAAATAGCAGTATCTTGTTAAACTATTTGGACTTTTTGGTTTTAGATCTTAATTTAAACTTGTATGTGCAGCCATGGTGCTTATTGTTAAATAACTTTTAATCTTTCTATGTGCATATTTTGAATCTGTGCACTTTGGTGAACAGATTAAATCCTTTATTTGTAAGTGGTGCAATCATTACTTTTTCATTAATTTTCATGTTGTTACTAAAAAGACACTCGATTAAAATGTGGGAGAAATTTGCATTTTATTTCACTGGGGTAAGAAAATTGAGAATTATTTTGAAATGTATAAAATAAAATAAAATAAAAAGGAAAATAATAGGATTTGCGCTGTTGCTTAAACATGCTTATAGTTTTGTTTTTTTAACTGCTTGAATTAAAGTTGTACCAGTTCTGATCATTTCCATGTATTTGATCGTCTGTAGTCGTTCAAGAACATTTAATTTATTTATCAGACTGAGTTCGTCTCACAGTCCAGCTCTGCCGTCTCCAGATTTTAATGTCAAAGCACCAGTCTGCACCTAGACTCTGTATTTGTTTGCACTCGAAATGTCATGTCCAAACAATAAATCCTCTTTAGAGAGGATGCATCCTCATGTGGGTGGATGATAAGAGAGATGAAAGATGATTCAGAGGGCATCCACTTTACGATACGTATGGCTTCCCTGCAGGAGGAACACTAAAACACTTCAGGTTTTATCCGAGTCTCCATGCCTCTGGGAGCTGTGTGTCTTGAGCTCTGATGGCTCTCTTAGTGTCTGAATCTCTGTGGATGACTTTGCATCAAGAACATATTTGGGATATTAAAGCTCCCGCATTAATATGTGCATTTTTAGGACACACAGCCTCAAATAGTTGGAGCTTTCTTGAATGTAGTGTTTTAATAATAATAATAAAAACGAGGTGTGTGTTTAATGGAGGCAGGTCTGATGCTCCCAGGGCACTGCTTTGTCCGTCAGCAGCCGTTTCCACTGTTTCCATAGCAACTCCTGTCCAATTGCATCGGCTGCGTTGCACTGCTCTGGCTCTGTTGTTGCAAAATGGAGCCGGGCTCTCTACACGGCTTGTGTTTCAGCTCGTGTGTGCACAAGCATCCATCAGAGACTCGGTCTTGTAAGGCTGCCTGTCGTCTCTTCATCGAACTGTCTGTGCTTTGGGCTTCTTATCCTCCTCCTCCTCTCCCTCCTCCCCACAGGCAGATGTAAAAAGCCTTCATCTCCCTCTCTGTTCAGGACCTTGGAAAAAAAAATCCCTCACTTGTGTAGCGGCTTGCAGCCACTCACAGTACCCCTCCTCCTCCTCCTCTTCGTCTTCTCTCATCCCTCTCACTACAGCTGAGCCTCTCTCTCTAACACACACACACCTTTATTTATCACGTGATCCAATTGCTGCATCTCCATTGGTGTCTCTGATTGTGGCGTGTGTCCAATCAGTGCATAAGCTCAGAGATCAACATAAGTGAAGCAGAGCAGCTTGGCTGATGCTCTTAGAGTCACAGAGGGAGAGGGTGGAAGGCAAATGGAAAGACAAGAAAATTAATATTAGCAGATGGGAGAAGGGTAAAGTTAGACACAGTCTGTTTTAATGAAATAAAATATGCTTGTGTAGTGATTCAAGCTGGACTGCAGGAGTTGAACGGGAAGGAAGAGGAAAGCCAAAAAGGAGGTGGTGCACGCGCCGCGTTGAAAGACGAGTTTACGCTTATTGTGGCTCAAGCTAAGTGTCCACAAGCAGCCAGACTGCTCGTCTGAGGAACCGTCTGCTCCCTCCATCTTTCCGACTGTGCTTCGTCTCCTGTCGAGAGCTACAAAGTCACTATCTGGCAAAAGCACACGGCCAAGACAGAAGCCATTGTGGAGAGCATCAAACGACACTTGAAAGCATGGAGGTGACATGTAAGTATATCGAGAACGGGGATGGAGGAGGGCGAACAGAGAAAGGGAAATGGGGAGGTGGTACTGAAAGGGAGAGGACTGTTTGTGTTGTTGCCTGGATGCGGAGGAGGAGAGGGGAAGGAGGATGGAGAGAAGAAAAGGCAGGGAGGGATAGAGAGGCAGAGTGGAGTATAGGGAGGAGGGACAGATGGGGACGTGAAGGCTCGATGAGGAAAAAGCAGGTTTGTCCCAGTCCCAGATTATGGTACATACGCTCAGTCGTGGGCTGGATTACAGCACCCACCCCCCCCCCCCACACACACACACACACACAGATCTACTTGCTTACAAATACACAAATGTGTTCACCAATCCACCATCACATCACAAGCATCATCCATTTTTGTGAGGATGAGTGATGGGGGTTGGGCCTTGTTGTGAATGGGATTACTCCACATCAGCAGCCCCCACTGTTTGCCACCGGAGGGATTCTCTGCCACTACCTGAGCTCGTCTGAACTCCACGCTGCCTCGCCCAGCGCTGGATGAGCTTCAGCTGGTGTTTTAGCCACGGGGGTTTGACACCGGATCACAGCGAGGTCAGCAGCAGCCCGTGAAACGCTGCCAGTACTGGGCTTTTATTTGTTTTGGACTAAACACAGCATCGTAGCATTAGCTTTTTGTCCCATAGTTCAATGTTGAGCTTCGTCCCACCCATCAGTCGACCAGGTGATTTTAACACTTGCTCCATTTTCTTCGTGCATCAGCCATGTATTGATCTCTTAACGGGACAGTTGTAGCAATGAGCATGCATCATCATCCTCTGATGGACTGGGAACATAAATTCCCTGCCTTCCTTTTTCTTGACATCTCTGTTGTAAATATTTATATTTAGACATGCATTAATAGATTATTTGCAGAAGGGACGAGCATTATCGCTCTTGCACAATCTGCTCTTTTTTTATGGTCTCGTTTGGTTTTCTTCTCCACCAGTGCTGTTTATGTAAAGTGTAGATTGAATTGGGTTTTATCAACTGTTTCCACTTTTTCTGCTCTTTATTCCTGGTGGAGCTGCAGGCAGATGGTTGTTAGCCTAGCTTAGTATCAAGGCTTGAAACAGTCTGTGGCTTTACCAACGTGCCAGTCTTATTCTTTGAGGTGGGACCAATGCTAACTGTGTTTCTTTGTGCATAGGAACGTATTTAAAGATTTTGGAGTTCTTGTTTCTTTGGCAAAGAATAAATCATATATGTTTGAGCATTGTTTCCTATGTGCACACGATTCTACACTAACAGAAGCATATGTTTTGTTTTTCTGCCTCTACATCCCCTCAAGTGCTGAAACATGCTTAGAGAAGCTGTGCATTTGCTTTTACTGCAAATGAATAATACTCTTGATAGAAAATGGAGCTCAGCCTTCAAAGAACGAACTCATGGCTGTTGTCTTTGAGTGTTCAATTAAAAGTGGCCTTCTGCAAGAGACCTTGAACTCAGTCCAGGTAGCACTTTAGCTAAATGAACCAGCACAGAATGAAAGCAAAGTGTTTTTTTTTTTTTAATTCAGTATTTCTGTTTCTGACCTCAATGAAAGGCATGCTGGGAGTTTGAGTCAGACACATTAGTGCAGGTATGAGAAGTTTCTGGTTCCAGCAGATGACAGCACTCAAACACACCTTCTCCATGCCATTCACTGTGACAGCAGCGCTCCTGCTTTGTACATGTGTCATGACTTGACCAGCCTGCACCTCCCCCACTCCTCCTCCTCTCCTGCAACGAGACCTGCTGTTATTTTATACCGCACCTCGTCGATCATCTTCCCTTGCTTCAGTTTCTTTTGTCTTGTGCTCTTTCTCCTCATTATTCTTACCCCCAACGCCCCATCCCACCCAAGTCCTGCACCATCAGCACCACCTCTGTTGTTGGGCTATTGATATCGTTCCGCCTGGGTGCCTCACCCCCCACTCCCCTAACGAGGTGCGCTTATTGTTTTTGCACGTGTGTAAGCACTATACGACTCGCTCGTGGTGGTGTGTGTACATCACAAGCATGTATCAAGAGGAAAATGTTTCTGTGCAGGGAACAGTGATTTTTAAAATCAGTCTGTGTTTGTGCGTGTGCGCCTAAGGGGAAGGGTCTCTCATCTGAGAGCGCTTTGACCCACTCCCACTGAGAACACCAAAGCTCGGCTCACTAATCAGCGCGAGGAGATCATCCGACATTAGCATAACTGTCAGAGCTGTACACGCCGAGCTGATGTTTAGCTTTGTGATTAATCAGGATAACTGATAACTACAAATCAGAAGGAGAAACAACACATACTCAAGTTTTATTTTTTTTATTTTTTTATGATTTGCTCGTCTTCCTGTGTGCTAACGTTGCTGTGCAGGCATTTTAGCCACATGCATGTGATGCTTTATTTGCTCACTGCAGGACACAATGTTCTTTAGATTTCCTACAAATAAAGAGTCTCGTATGGCAGCGAAAAGCTTTATCCTTGATGTTAAATAATTATACAGGTTTGATTTATCGCTGCTTAAATCAAAGATTTGTTGCACGTCGTCTGTTGAAGGAGGTGCATGTAAGAAGGGGGAGAACAGCAGATGTGGATTAATCATCATTTCTCAGTTTTGTTCTGTTTTTTTAAATAATCCATCTTTTTCTATCAGCTACAATTAACAAATGCTTGGCATAGTTCACTAACACACTGGTTAAAAAGGTGCAACTTTGCACATACTTTCTATAACCAACTAATTAATTTTACTTTTTGGATTATTTTGTGTTTTTATTCATTGAAAGTATTCGAGTTTTGGCAGGATCAGAACAATAGTTCAGATCTTTTAAAGTAGGTTGTGTGGAAAGGTCATGAACAATAAATAGCTTTCATTTGAATGACCTCAGTTTGGAGAAATCATTTTATTCTGATACAATGACAAGCTAGCTGCTCATTTGAGCAAGACCAAAGGTGGATTTCTCTCACCTTAAAGCTACTCCAGTTTCAAAAATTCAATGGTGATTCATGCACACTCTATATTATAAATTTTTATGTTGCCATTTTGCACAATAGTAATCTATGGTTATTGCTAGCACAAAAGGCATCGGAGGCTGTGAGCTGTAGCTCTTTTGGTGCAGCCTGATGTACTTCCAGCAGGAATTTCAGGATTTTTCTGCCTGAATAATTATGTAATGCAGAATTAGTGGCAATGTAAAGGTTTAAACAATAGTGTTTGCATTAACCACATTGAAATTTAGAGATTAAAGTTGTTTTAAAAGGGCATCATTCCACTTTGGTTTTGGCCTGTCAAAGTGGTCATTATTTTAGATGTTGCATATTTCCTGCAACATAATGAAAACGACAAATTCAAGGTCAGCATTTGGCTTTTTGCCAGCATTTCTTCAGTGTCTTTCCTCTCCGGTCCTCCATATGGGCTGTGTTACACCTCATGTGGAGCTGTTTTTTTTTTATTTAAAACAGCTCCTCTGACAGTTTCTCGGCACGCAGCTCTGAACATCTAAATATGGCAACAGCCACCAGCGAGAGCCGGTGTTGACCCCACGCCACTAATGTGCTGAAGTCTGACATGTCTATTAAACATGACATCTATTGTAGATGTAGAGGCAGCAACAGTCAAGAAATTATCGATTTGTTGTATTTTTGTACATACATGAGCTTATTCTTAATTTTTATGTCCATGAGAAGACAAAATTGCAATATTTGTACTAAACTCTGCACATTCATGTTCAGTAGAACTAGTTTTCCTACAATGCGTTTTGTGCACTTCTCTATAGTGCTGTCAGACCGAAAGAGTAGCTTTTCAGAGCACTTGAAGTCACATCTACCTATTACTGCAACTCTTTTATTGAAATATACCGCCTCAGTGACAACTTGCAAGCAACAGGGGGTAGATGCATAATTGAAATTTTAATGGATGGGAGTTTCTCAACTCCTTCAGTGCAATGACATGGTCTTTTTGAAAGCTTTATTTAGCAAGAAAAGATAGCACTGCTAATGGAATCAAACTGGGGTTGCAGCATCCATAGTCTTCCCTTCAAGATTTCATGGTTCTTTGTTGTCATTCACATGTGGTACATGAGGTGGAAATGAAAGTGTGTGATCAAGGTCCCAGTTACACCCAAAAATAGCAAAAATATAAAGTATAAAATGAAACGGTATACAAAGATCTGATATGTGCTCATCACTAATAGTGCAAAATAATATGGTATATTAAATAGCAGCCTGAACATGAGTCTGTAGTGAGCAGATGGGAATGAATATAGCAGCTTAAAGGCAAGAAATCATCAGCATGGATAATCAGCAGCACATATGTCAAGGATCAGCAGCTTCGATGATCAGCAGCACAGATAAGTCACATATCACAAATTAAAATGACATTACAGTGGTTTTTCTTTTTGCTTAGTGATTATCCTGACTAGGGATTTGTGAGTCTACCAGCCTCAGGGTAGATAGAAGCTGTTCCTCAGTCTAGTGGTTCTACACTTAATGCTCCTCAACCTCCTTCCTGAGGGGAACGAGGAAAAAAGTGTGTGTGCTGGGTGAGTGGGGTCCTTCATGTTGCAGGTGGCCCTCTTCCTGCATCTGGAGGTGTATATGTCTGTGATGGTGGGGAGACTGACTCCGACAGACTTCTCTGCAGCCTTCACCACTCTCTGCAAAGCTTTTCTTTCTGCAGCTGTGCAGCCTCCATGCCACACGTTGATGCTGGAGCACAGGATGCTCTCCACTGCACACCTGTAGAAGGAGGTGAGGACTGAGCTTCCCAGACCAGCTCGTCGCAGCCTCCTGAGGAAGTAGAGTCTCTGATGAGCTTTCTTGCAACTAGAGACCATCGTGCGTGTTGCTCCCTCAAATCCATGACCATCTCCTTTGTCGTCGTCTTCACATTGATGTGAAGGTTATTCTCTTTGCACCAGCTCTCCAGGTGTTCCATCATTGTTTGTGATGCATCTCACCACCGCTATATTGTCTGCAAACTTTACAATATGACAGGAGGACAAATTGTGGATCCTCA